CATGGGGATTTTGATTGGCATTGCATTGAATCTATAAATAGCTTTTGGTAGCATGGTCATTTTCACAATATTAATTCTTCCAGTCCATGAGCATGGGAGGTCCTTCCATCTTCCGATGTCTTCCTCAATCTCTTTCTTTAAAGATTTAAACTTTTCATTGTTAGAGGACTTTAATGTCTTTGCTCAGATTCATTCCAAGATATTTTATTTTTTTGTAGCTATTGTGAAAGGGAGTGTTTCCATGCACTCTTTCTCTGATTGCTTGTATATAGAAAGGGTATAGACTTTTGTAGATTAATTTTGTACCCTGCCACTTTATTGAAAGTGTTAATCATTTCTAGGAGTTTTCTGGTAGAATTTTTGGCGTCTCAGATATATTGTCTGCAAAAAGGGATAATTTGATCTCTTCCAATTATTACTCCTTTAATTTCCTTCTCTTGTCTTATTGCTCTTGCAGGAGTTTTAAGCACTATGTTAAACAGGTGTGGAGATAGTGGGCAGCCTTGCCTGGTTCCTGATTTTAATGGGAATATGCTTCCAATTTTTCTTCATTTAGAATGATGTTGATTGTGGGTTTGCTGTATATGGCTTTAATTATGTTGAGGTATGTTCCCTCCAGTCCAGTTCCCTCTAGGACTTTGAACATAAATGCATGTTGAATTTTGTCAAAGGCCTTCCCTGCATCTATTGAGATGACCATGTAGTTCTTGTCTTTGAGTCCATTTATATGATTTATGACATTTATTGACTTACGTATATTGAACCATCCCTGCATCTCTGGAATAAAGCCGACTTGATCGTGGTTGATGATCTTTTTGATGTGTGTCTGTATGCAGTTTGCAAGTATCTTATTGAGAATTTTTGCATCTATGTTCAATAAGGATATGGGTCTATAGTTTTCTTTCTTTTTTTTGCTCGTATCTTTCCCTGGCTTTGGTATTAGAGTGATGCAGGTTTCATAGAAGGCATTTGGAAGTTCTCCCTCCATTTCTGTTTGAATAAATTAAGTAGTGTTGGATGTAGGTCTTCTTTAAATGTCTGGTAGAATTCTGCTGTAAATCCATCTGGTCCTGGGCTTTTTTTAGTCAGGAGGTTTTTGTATTACTCTTTCAATTTCCTTATGTGTTATGGGTCTATTTAAGCTGTTAATCTCTTCTTGGTTTAGTTTTGGTGGTTCCCATGCTTTTAGATATCTGTCCATTTCTTTTAAGTTTTCAAATTTATTAGTATAA